GTCCCCAGACAGCGCCCAAGAAAACCTCATTTGGCTCACTGAAGGATGAAGACCGGATCTTCACCAACCTGTATGGCCGCCATGACTGGAGGTGAGATGGTGCCCTTAGGCTGGTGGATCCCCAGGCGGGGCCTCCTCCTCACTGCCTTCCCCACCCTATCCAGGCTTAAAGGTGCCCAGAGTCGAGGTGACTGGTACAAGACGAAGGAGATTCTGCTGAAGGGGCCTGACTGGATCCTGGGTGAGGTCAAGACATCGGGCTTGCGGGGCCGTGGAGGTGCTGGCTTCCCCACTGGCCTTAAGTGGAGCTTCATGAATAAGCCCTCAGATGGCAGGTGTGTGTAGGCAGGCAGAAATGGGGTTACACCTCGGGGCGGCTGGGACTTATCTGGGCCTTGGGGCTGTTTCCGTGGAAACCAAGAGTGAATGAAGTGGGAAAACCTTACCAGAGCTCCAGTAGCAGGGACTTGGTTCTCTGATCTTCCTCAGGGGGGTCTTGAGGGGCAGCAGAGTCTACACAAGATTTTGACTCCAGCAGACTTAATTGATCAATTCCTGGTTCTGCCATTTAATCAGATCGCTTTGGGCAATCTCCAGACCTTTCTGAACCTCAGTATTCTGTAAATGTCTATTGTGTTGTGCAGGGATTAAAGAGATACTGTGCCTACAGCTTTTGGCCTGCACTTTGGTCTGCATGTAGAAAGTAAATGATAAATGTCAGTCTGTCTCCTTTTGGCTCCAGAGATACAGTGGAGGTTCACAGAATGCTCATTGTGACCAAAAGCATTTGGGCTCTTGAGAAAGCACTGGGAGAGGCATTTGGGCTGAGTAGAACCAAGACCTTGCCTGTGGTCATAGCTGCCCCAGTGTGGACTAGGCAGTGAGCTCCCCCGTCGTCGGTGGTGAGCAAGCAGAGCCCTGGGAACTTGCTGGGAGGACAGAGAAGGATTTGCTGTCAGATAAGACCTGTTTGAGGTTTCCTGGTGGAGTGGGGTGGCATACGGTTGAAGGCCTGACCCTGGTGGCCCTGTAGCCCGACTGAACTGCTGGCCCCCGCAGGCCCAAGTATCTGGTGGTGAACGCAGATGAGGGGGAGCCAGGCACCTGCAAGGACCGAGAGATCATCCGCCATGACCCCCACAAGCTGGTGGAAGGCTGCCTAGTGGGGGGCCGGGCCATGGGCGCTCGTGCCGCCTACATCTACATCCGTGGGGAGTTCTACAATGAGGCCTCCAATCTGCAGGTGGGCAGGGGGAGGGGAGGTGCTGAGTGGGCACTCACATGCCCCAGGCCAGGCAGAGTTCGTTGTAGGTTCTCGAGCGGGATCTGCCTGGAGTCGCGCTGGGAGGGTGGGGATCTCTCGAGCTGGCCTGTGTCCTGAGTGGGACGTGCACCCCAAAGCCTCCATCTCACTCTGCGTCCCAGAGCCTCAGCCTGGGAGGTCTTCCAGGGCTTCAGGGCTCCTGGGGCGGGGGTAGGCTGGAGAGCACACACATGTGCATTTTTCCTGAAGGGTCAAGGGGTCATGTCAGTAATTCTCAGCCCAGTGACGCCTGTAGTAATTGGTCTAGGGCCAAAGCCTCCCCTTTCTATTAGGTTCATAACCTGGCACATGGTAGCATTCTGTGTGTTATTACATGTGTAAAAAGCAGCCTCCAGGCTCTTTTCCTCTACTCAGAAGCAGTACTCACTCATTGTAAAGACAGGAATCCACACCCATGTCAGAGAAAAATCTCCCATAGACTGACTACCTAGAGGAACCACTTGCTGAAATTTTCATTATTTCCTTAAAGTCTGTATAAAAAGTACATACAGTTGGAGAGTTTGTTGAATGTTATTACACGGGTAGTGCACACACTGTGAAACTCCCCACCCTTCTCCCAACACGCCCTCTGCTGACGTCCAGAAGGAGCTCCGGCCCTGGACTGTGGCGGTGGGCTCACTGGGCCTACACCCTGCCCTCCCACACGCAGGGTCCTTGGGCTCGTGGGGACCATGTCCGTGCACCCCTGTCCCACAGGTAGCCATCCGGGAGGCCTACGAGGCTGGTCTGATTGGCAAGAACGCCTGTGGCTCCGGCTACGATTTCGATGTGTTTGTGGTGCGCGGGGCCGGGGCCTACATCTGCGGGGAGGAGACCGCGCTCATCGAGTCCATCGAGGGCAAACAGGGCAAGCCCCGCCTGAAGCCTCCCTTCCCTGCAGACGTGGGTATGACCTGGCGCCTGGCCTCATCCCCGGCCTGTCCTTTGGAATCTGGGATCTGGCTTCAGGTCGCCACTGTCATTGGGGAATTTCTGAGTCTCTTCTCTGGGGGCCTGACAACGCGAGTAGGTGGGAACAGCATAGAGGCTGCCCCAGTGCCCCCAGGAGCCTCTCATCCTGCCCCAGTGCACAGGCCACACACCCGGGTGCTCTCCAGCGCCCCCCGGGACTTGGGGCAGGGTGGTGGAAACGCAGTACAGCTAGAATCTGGGGCTCCTGGGGGTCGAGAGTAACACAGGGAGCAGGGCTCTCTGCCACAGAAGCAGACCCTGGACAGATGCCACCTCCAGGAGACCCGCCCCAACTGTCCCCAACCTCCAGCAGCCACTGGTTTGTTTCCTTTTTAAAAACAAACATATATATTTATTTTGTTTTTGGCTGTGCCGGGTCTTCGTTGCTGAGCAGGCTTTGCTTTCCTTGTGGCAAATGGGGCCACTCTCTAGTTCTGGTGCGCGGGCTTCCCATCGCGATGGCCTCTCTCGCTGCCGAGCACAAGCTCTAGGACGCGTGGGCTTCGGTGGTGCAGCTCCCGGGCCCTGGGGGACAGGCTCAGTAGCTGTGGCACACAGGCTTAGTTGCCCCTCGGTACATGGGATTGAGCCCATGTCTCCTGTGTTGGCAGGTGGATTCTTTGCTACTGAGCCACCAGGGACTCGCCATCCACCAGGTTTTCATCCTCCTCCCCCACAGGAGTGTTTGGCTGCCCTACAACCGTGGCCAATGTGGAGACAGTGGCCGTGTCCCCTACCATCTGCCGCCGTGGGGGTGCGTGGTTTGCCAGCTTCGGCCGAGAGCGCAACTCAGGCACCAAACTGTTCAACATCTCCGGCCATGTCAACAACCCCTGCACCGTGGAGGAGGAGATGTCTGTACCGCTGAAGGAACTGATTGAAAAGCACGCGGGTGAGGCCTGGGGCCAGCCAGTGGGGCGGGCGGGCCTCTGGGGCCTGGGCTGGGGCGGGGGCTGACAGGCGTGCCGGCCCCCGCCCTGACCATCCGTCCTCTCGGGGGCCGACTGGGGCCCCAGGGGGCGTCACGGGTGGCTGGGACAACCTCCTTGCTGTGATCCCTGGCGGCTCGTCCACTCCGCTGATCCCCAAGTCGGTGTGTGAGACGGTACTGATGGACTTCGACGCGCTGATACAGGCGCAGTCGGGCCTGGGCACGGCTGCCGTGATCGTCATGGACCGCTCAGTAAGCAAGGGCCGCCCGCGCTCCCCACCCAGTCCCTGCCTTAGGCCAGGCTGGTTAGTAACCCGGCCTGGGCTTCTCAGAGACACCTGCTGGTTCTTGGGTCCTGATTCCTGTCACCTGAGACACAGGGAGGTGGGAGAGGCTGGGGGGCAAGGCTTCTCTGGGCGGAACACCCGTGGAGCCTGGCAGCGCAGGATGCCTGGGGTGGGTGGAAGAGGCCAGAGCGCTGCTGGAATCGGGCGGGCGTGCTGCCAGGGGCTGAGGCTCGGGCACCTCCTTGTTGCCCCTCGTCTCTGCAGACGGACATTGTGAAAGCCATCGCCCGCCTCATCGAGTTCTACAAGCATGAGAGCTGTGGCCAGTGCACCCCATGCCGCGAGGGTAGGCGTGCTGGGCAGGGGGTTTCTCTGTGGCTCATGCCGGGTCTGGGTGGGGCATGGGGCACAGGTGGCATGGGCTCTGGACCCTGAATACACCACTGCGGCCACCCAGCCTGCTGTGGCCTCTCTTAGCCCTCCGCCCCCTGACCTGCACCCCTCGAGTTCCATCCCCCACACCCCGGCCTGAGGGGGTCAGAAGGCCGTCTCTTGCTGCCCCGGCGCAGGTGTGGACTGGATGAACAAGGTGATGGCCCGATTTGTGAGGGGGGACGCCCGCCCGGCGGAGATCGACTCCCTGTGGGAGATCAGCAAGCAGATCGAGGGCCACACCATCTGTGCCCTGGGTGACGGGGCCGCCTGGCCCGTGCAGGTACTGCTGCCCTGTGAGGGACGTGGGGGGTGAGTGCCCGGGCACGGGGGCGGGGCTTTCAGACCCTGCTTCACACCACGCTCCCTGCACCCCCTCCCGCCCCAGGGCCTGATCCGACACTTCCGGCCAGAGCTCGAGGAGAGGATGCAGCAGTTTGCCCAGCAGCACCAGGCCAGGCAGGCCGCTTCCTGAGCCCACGGGGCTGGTGTCCGTCTGTCTGGACGGCTGGACAATAAAGCTAGTGACACCCACTCTCGCGTTGCATCTTCTCTGTGGCTTTGCCTGCCTCCACGCTGCTGCTGCAGCCCATGGTTCACAGAGGTTTGTTTCTCAGACGGCGGGGGGACTTCAGAGGGGTAGGTCAGGACAAGGTCATGTTGAGAATCGACACCTTGACGTCCTGTGTGTCAGCCTGTCACAGACCGCGTGCGTGCTCAGTCATGTTCAACTCTTTGGGACCCTTTGGCTGAAGCCTGCCAGACTCTCCTGTCCAGGGGATTTCCCAGGCAAGAATACTGGAGTGGGTTGCCATTTCCTTCTCCAGGGGATCTTCCCGACCCAGGGATTGAATCCTTGTCTCCTGCATTGCAGGTGGATTCTTTACTACTGAGCCACTAAGGGAAGCCCCTGTCATAGACCACCCTGAGCGTTTATCCCTTGGTGCAGGAGTCGAGTGGGGAGGGGAAAACTGGCCTGGCCCTGTGCAGGCCTCTGGAGGGTGGGAGCGAGGAGAGCAGGGCCCATTCTGCCCTGTGAGGTGATGGCAGGGAAAAAATGGACTGTCCGGTCTGATTGGGAGGAGAGGTTTATTCTTGCTTCATGATTTGACAGTGGGGTGAATTCGAAAGCAGGGAAGGAAGGAAGCAATTGACCAGGGGCTGGACAGTGGGGGTGAAGCAGCCCAGGGCCTTCCAGCTCCGCAGAGAGGCTGTGGGGCAGCCCAGGGAAGGGGCAGTGAGCAGGCCAGGCCGGGGGCCCTGCTAGTCGCTGAGCTGGAGGGGCGTGCCGTCCAGCGGGTGCCACAGCTCCAGCCTGCGGTCACTGCGGCCCAGGCATTCGCGCCAGTGTTGCTGGCGCTCCCCACCGGCCCGGTTGCTCAGCTGCACCCCGCCTGGGTTGGGGGACAGGTCAGGCACCATGTGGGAGTCCCCCCACGGGAGTCCCGACTCGGTTCCCCCGCATTCCCACTCACCGATGAAGTCGTCAGCCGTGCCCAGGTCATAATCCCATACAGACACCAGCAGCGTCTTCTGGGCCAGCTCCTCCCGCGGGCCTGCATAGAAGAACTCCTGCAGGGGACGCGGTAAAAAGGAGGTGGCCTTAGTCCACAGCGTCAGGAACAGACTCAGGCGAGTGGCCCAGGGCGGCTGGGGCCTGCACTGTGAGATGGGATGCCGACCCCCTCCCCCAGCAGCCGGGACTGCCTTCTCTCGGCAGGCCTACCTCGTTGAACTCGGGGTTCAGGGTCTTCTTCCGAACACTGGTCTTGTATTTCGATTTCTTCCCTGCTTTGGGATGCAGGAAACTGGGAGGGATGAGGTTGGTTTCAGTGTGGCCCCAGAGAAGCAAGCCGCGGAGGTGCTCTGAGGAACCCCCACTGCCCACCCGGCCACCCGCTTCACACTCACAGGCGGACGAAGGGGTCCGAGTAGCCGTTGGCATCCATGGGGGCGAGGTGGGCGCAGCGCAGCACGCCCACCAGCAGGCCGCCCCGCTGAGAGCTGTAGCACAGTGACAGCAGGACACGCCCGCGCTCCTCCCAGGCCGCCTCCGCCTCCACCTCCTGCTGCAGGGGTCAGCGGTCAGCCCCGCGTGGCCCAGCGCCCACAGGGCAGGTGGTCAGCCCCGCGTGGCCCACCATCTGGCAGGGGTAGGCTGGCTCAGCCCCGCGTGGCCCAGCGCCCAGCCGCCCATCAGTAATGGCCTGGACAGGAGAACTCAAACTGGCCGCAAAGAAATCAGGGGCTGATGTTCGATTGTGTGGTTCAGTTTCCCGATACTGTCACTGACTTAGTGCCCTGGAATGAGACTTCCAGGTCAGCCAGGGCCTGAGAAGGGGAGGGGGCTTCTCCGGGTCACTTGACCAACCATTTGCCGCGTGTTTGTCATGGAGGGGGAGGGAACTGAAGTCTCTGAGGGTCACAAATGCGTAGGAGCTTCTTAGGTGGCCTTCCATTAGGGGCCCGTCTCTTCCCTCTCAGGGAAGCCTGGAAGCAGCTCCCAGAGGCTCACCGCTCCTCAAAGCACACACAGGCCTCATCAGCTGCAAGACCCTCTCCCCTCACACCCCACGGCCCGGGGGCCAGATCCTGAATGCCCTTTGCCCCCTCAGCCCCTGGTGCTTCCAGAAGGACTCAGGATACCCCGGAAAGAAAGTGCTTCTCCCACACCTCGCGTGGGGTTTGAGTTGCAGAAAGCCCAACCGCCTTGCTTGCGTTCAGTTCTCAGTAAGGGGGTGCTCCGTGAGTGCTGGCCAGGTGCCGGGGGGCTGCTGTGGGGGTCTGGGGACGGGGAGGGCTTGTGGTAGGGCTGCTCCCCGGGGCGGCGGGTGGGGGGG